ACCTCTAAAACCTAAACCCTAAACTCTAAACCCCAAACCCTTTGAGCCCATGAGCCTCTATCCGACTTCGGACAGATGCCGGCGGCGTCACAGGCAGGATGGCCGCTTCTTGCGGAGGAGGACCTCGGTCGGCTTTTGGGCCCAGGCCTTTGGGATCTAGGGTTTAAGGGTTTAGGGTTAGAAGGTCCGATCCATGGAGAAAGAGGCAGATGTCAGTTTGAATAAAAAGTAAAATTAAAGATAAACAAAAGGTAAAATAAAGGTGAAGTTGTAAGGTGAAGCAAAGGTAAAAAAAAGGCGAAATAACGCTGGAACCAGGTGAAACAAAAAGGTAAACAAAAAGGTAAAAAAAATGGGAAAAAGGTGAAGACCAGGCACGGGGCACGTGACTCGGATTTTCCTGCACTCTCCCACGCCCGCCCACCAGCCGGGGGGCTGGCGGGCGCGCGTACAAATCGACTTTCTGTACAAAAGGCGTAGAAAGGTGTAAAAAAAGTAAAAAAAGGTGTAAAAAGTTTAGGGTTTAGGGGTTTTGGGTTTGGGTTAGGGTGTAGGGGTTGAGGGTTTTGGGTTTAGGGTTTAGGGGTTAAGGGTTCAGGGTTTAGGGGTTTAGGGCGCGCAATTAGAGTTTAAGGCTTTAGGATGCATGGCGTAGTGTAGCACTGGCTAGCCGAACCGACCGCTCTGGCCAATGCTGCTTAAGGTCTTGTTAGGAGGTTCATGTCTAGTTATTAGTGGAGTTTTATGTAGGATAACTAAAGTTGTAGCCCATATTCCGGAACTTATATAACCCTACCTGTACCTACTTGCCAGCATCATGGGGAAATAAAGTAACTAAAGGGCAAGCTTTGGGATTATAAAGGGATTACAGTACCCCCAAAAAGTTAGAGCTTACCTACTCTACTACTCAAGTTCATATCTAGTATGTATTTTTGGCCTGACAGATAACGATACCTATATCTGTACTCTAAGGCCAAGGTATGTAAGTGCAGGTAGCCTTGGGTGCAAAATCTGCTTGATTTCGGTGCTGCAGGTCACGGCAGTGCATGTCAGGTGACTTCTGTATGATTCCCTGAAACCTGGTAACCCAAAACCCGAAACTCCTAAACCCTAAAACCTCCTAAACTCCCAAGCCCCTAAGCCCTAAAACCTGGTAACCCTAAACCCTAACCAGGTAACCCTAAACCCTAAAACCTGGTAAAGCATGGGGGGGTTTGGGAGATTCGTCGCGTTTTCGAGGCTCCAGTCCACCCGTTGGAAAGAAGCTGAGCCTGACCACCACAGGATAGCTTGAACAAGCAAACAACAGAGCCAAGACTTAGGGCTTAGGGTTTAGGGCTTTGGGTTGAGGGTTCAGGGACTTCGGGGTTCAAGGTTTAGGATCTACGTTTTAACCTATCCGGACCTTTTTGAACGACCCATAGGCCCCATAGTAGCTCCTTTTTCGGATTACCTTATAACTATAGGATCCTAAATATAAGCCACACAAAGGAACTACTATGGGGCCTATGGGTACTTATTATTTCCGCAAGCCGACCCTAAACCCTTATAAGCCCAAAAGCCTAAATGACCCTAACCCCGAAACTTAACACCCCAAGCCCTATACCCAAAGTATACAGAAACCTGGTGCATTGTTGCCCTGCCTAACCCCTAAACCACAAAAAAAAACAACGACCCTAAACCCTGAACCCTAAACCCTAAAAACACTCTCTCCAAAGTCCTGCTAGAAGAGCCGAGACTCGCCGAGCAAGCCCCGATTTCGAGGCAGCTTGAATCTGCCGACGCCGGCAGCGGCGGTACCAGGCCTCTATGAGGGGTTTAGGGTTTAGGAGTGAGGGTTTAGGGTGGTTTAGGGTTTTGGGTTTAGGGCTAAAGGTTAATGTTAGGGTCCCTTTAATAAACCCCCCCCCCCGAGGTCGTTTTGCGCGGGGGTCTCTTGGGGCAGGGTTTGGGTGGGGGGGTCGTAATAATAAATTTGTTTCCGTAGTCTGGAACTGCGGTCTGCAAGCTGGTAG